TAAGCTCTCTAGCATCATTGACCCTACCTAAAAGTATACCCTGATAAAAACCATTCACACACCCACAACCACACACTCACATGTGTCTGGACCCTCAAACTTCACCAGAGCCCTGCTGTCCTACGAGGGCAGGATCTTTCTGGTTCCTGTCTTGGCGCCCTCAGTTCCTCGTAGGCACCTAAAGAATGATTGTTGGATTGAGTGACTTTCAGACAATCGAGGTTGAATGATTTGTCATAAGTCATAGAGCGAGGAGGCAGGCCCACGCTGAGGATCCCCCAGCCTCTCACCCTGAGCTCTCATTCTCTGTGCTCTCCAGAGACAAAGCCCAGCTGAGAGGTCCCCCCCACTGCCTATACAGCTGTGTGTGAGAGGGCCTGGGCTCAGCCTCTGGACCCCTCTGGAAGGCAGACGGTCAGAAGGTCCCTTCCCCTCTAAACCCCACGAACCTATTCCTCGCTGTTCCCTCCAAACTCTCCCAGCTATGACATCTTGGGTGTGCCTCTGGGCATCCTTCTTCTCCTCCTAGAAAGGTGTCTGGCTCGGGAGTCTCTGTCTTCCCCAAACCCCACCTCCAGTCCGGCGCTAGGCCCACGGCAGTGCCTGCCTCCTGGCTGCTGCTTGTCAGGGGCTTTGGGTTGTAGATTCTAATATCCATGTCCCAGTGGATGCTTAGCCAAGGACAATCAGCCCTTTTAGGACTTGGAGACTTTGCAAACAGAGTTCTAACTGTGTGACCTTGTCAAATGAGCTCTCCTTTTAGATCTCTCCTCTCAAAAATGAAGGTGTCAATAAAGTAGCAGCTAGGACCCTCATAGCGCCAAATCTTATAGTCCATGGGGGCACAATGGATAGAGCACACGCCTAGAGTCGGAAAGATCCGAGTTCCATTCTGGCCTCAGATGCTAGCTCTGTGGCCCTGGGCAAGTCACTTAACCTCTGATTGCCTCAGTTTCCTCAACTGTAGAATGGAAATACTAACAGCACCTACCTGCCAGGGTTGTTGTGAGGATCCAATGAGATAATATGTGTAAGATGCTTAGGGCAGTGCCTGGCACATAGTATGCACTTAATGAAATGCTTTTTCCTTTCCCCTTCCCTTTCCTCACCTCTTACCGGCCCCCCCCCCCCACCCAGCGAGAGCCTCCTGGGAAGGAATGGGCAGCTTGGGAGGCAGAGGGTCAGACATGTGAGGTGATGTCCACTTTGCACGTCCCGTAGAGGAAAATCTGGAATTACAAACCAGAGTAGTTTGGGAACGGAAGGATGAATAAATCATTTTACAGCGTTACCCAGGGACGCTGGGTTCACGTCCCACCCCGATGTTTCCATAAGATGCTAGCCAAGTCACTTCGAGTCTCTAGGCCTCAGCCTCCTCATCGTCACATGAGAGAGTGGCCTTAGATGCTCCCTGGGGCCCCTTCCAGGTCTGTATCTATGATCCCATGGGCTTGAAGTTCACCAAATACAAAACATGGTGCCATCTTCCCTCCACTCTTCACCCACAACAGCGATGTCTGCCTCGGTTGTCTTTGTGTGGCAGAATTAGCACTGGGCCGGCATGAGCCAGAACTCGGACAGCATCTCTGGGTGCTGCAGAAAGAGCATTTCTTCTAGCGTTGGGACCCGAGTTCAGATTCTGGCTCTTCACTTGATGTGTGACCTTGGTCAAAGATCTTAAAACCTCTCTGGGCCTCATGTTCTTCTGTAAAATGAAGAGGTTAGACCAGTTAGCCTCTAAGGGCCCTTCCAGCTCTCAATCTGTACTGTGTTCTATGCATGAGCCTATAAATACAGCCGTGTAAACAGAATTTATTCTGTCATTCAAGAGCTAGCCTACCTAGCTAGGCATGGAGAGGCTCATCCCTATCCCTAAGGGATTTGGTTTTTTCTACCCACTGCATTTCATGAAATCATCTGTGAAGGGGCCAGGTCCGTGTGGTGGAGTAAACATTCACACAGGTAGAAAGCTGAGGAGTCCAAGTATGATGGCACTCTGCTGCTCATTCCCTGGGTGACCTTGGAGAAATAAGTCACTTAGCCTCCTGGTGCTCAGTTTTCTCATCTGTAAAATTACCTGGGCCAGGGTGGGGGGAGTCAGGGTCCCTTCCAGCTCTAGGTCTCTAACTCCATGATCCTACAACCTCATTTCTAAAACCTCTTGGTCTTGGTAACATGCTTACAAGGTAGGTAGTGCGAGAATTACCGTCTCCACTTTACAGGTCAGACACTAAGGTGCAAAGAGCGCAGTGACTTGCCCACGGTCACGCAACTAGAGCGTGTCTGAGCTGGAATTCCAGTCCAGGCCTCTTCCCTTGACTGCACGCCTAGTTAAATGCCTCCCTTTACAGACCCATTTCCCTGAGGCCACCACCATTTGTCCCTGATGCCACCAGCCTTGGTCCTCTCCCTCTTCATAATAACGGGGCTCCTCCTCTACATCCTGGCCCTGTGGGAGCCACAGCTGACCCCCTCTGAGTGGCGGGAGAGGGGCAACTCTTCCTTCCCTGGTCAGATGGAGCTGGGGCAGACCAGGCACAGCTTTCATACACATACTCACTCACTCACACACACACACACACACACACACACACACACACTCTCTCTCTCTCTCTCTCTCTCTCTCTCTCTCTCTCTCTCTCTCTCTCTC